TCCCGGTAAATCTTCTATTCTAGTGGTAACTATTTCAGGGACAAGCAAACTTCTGTGGAACAAACACCGGTCTGTGTGGAGATTGCTAAGTAAATTGTCATGCTTGTTTGCAAACTGCTTTAAAATTTAGAGTATGGGAACCAATTTAGAGGTGAAGGCATATGAGAGGGATACTGTGCAACTGCTAGGGCTGTGATGGAATAAGCACGCAGTGATCGTGCAAACTGGTATTGTGATTACCAAAAGCTTTGACCATCTACCTAGGACATGAGGATTCTTATCTTGTACAATTTCAGGAATAAAAAAAAGCAGCTATGCCAGTGATATTAGGGCATCTTCAGCAGAAGATATGGCACAGGGGAGAAACAGTACTGTTAGTGCCACTGAAGGGTATTGAGGTGAGGCAAAGTGCAGCTCAGATTAGAGGACCACAGAGTTTCATTCCACCAATAAAACCTTTTAATGTCCCTTCAGTCTGCATACATGTGCCCATAGGGCTGCAGTGAGTGGCTCTGGATACGCTCATCTCTCAGCTGTGCAGCGCAACCCCTCCAGCTCCTTTTGCCGTTCTGTCTGGGTGCTGAGCAGGACACAGTGGCTCTCAAAGAGGAGTCTGTGATTACAGGTTGTGTAATCTGCAGCAACTCCTAATCGTCCTGGGAGGACAGCAGCTGTGGAAGCCACTGCCAGCTGCGATCAGGCTCACCTCCTCTTCCCCTCTGCAGAGCAGAGCTCAGGTGGCTCTTGCACTGCTCTTGCTATGGCCACGCACATGTGGGAGCAATGAACACTTTCTTTTCTGGGCTGTAAATATGCTAAGCCAATAACCATTATGCAAACAAGAGGGAGTAATTATCTCGTTAAATGTACTGGCAGTATGCAAAGTGCCTCTGCTAGATTCTCTCACCTCAGCTGACATTCTGTAGGGAGAAGCCTTTCAAAGGTGTCTTCCAGGAGCAAGCCCTTCCTTCCGAAGGAGATAATGTGTCACAAAAATTTGTCAAAGATACTTTTTGAGAAACAGTTCATGCATCTTTGTGAAAGATCCTGCTCCTGAGAAGCCCTCCTGTGTTTGCCTTTGTTTTGAGGAGTCCCAGGTCTGGCTTCCCAGCTCAGTGTTTGAGGTGCTGTACAAATAAAAATGTGCTTGTCAGTGTGAAGAGAAGAGCCTTGGTGGGGACAAGGGAAAGCCATGCAGGCCTCAGTTTTGCCACCTTTTGAAAACAAGCTTAGTTTAAACTTCTGTTGTAAAAATTGTGCTGGGCACCTTTAATGGAAGAGGAGTACTCTCATACTTGAGGTTCAGTAGGTCAGTCTCACCAAGATTAGGATCAAAAAGAGAAGAGGCAAAAACGAAGGCCAGAAGTAGTTCTGTAGGTCTTTTAAATCCATTTTTTCGGGACTTCATTGGGAAGAATTTGTATTTTTTGTTTGGGTTAGAAAACTGACAATGGAAAAAATACTGTAATTTGAATAACCATCTTTTTTATCTCATGTTAGAAATCTGCAGAAGATATAAGGTAGATATATTCAGTGTCAAAAATTGTAAGGTTGAGGAACGTAGTTGTGTGCTTCAGTGCTTTTGATCTCTGCAAAACTAAATAGTTGACACAGGATTTAAGGGTGCACCTTCAAAATACAATTAAATATACCTTATTTGCATTCTTTGCTAATAAGATTTTAACAATTTCCATACTGTGTCACTCTGCAGAGTTATTACTATGCAACTGCAGTACATTGTATTACTAAATCTTAATTAATCTGATATTTTACCTGGATTTTTTTTGGCTACTGCTAGTCGTTGCTCAAACCACTGTACTGGTACAACTGAGGGTACAGTATGCTGGGCTCAAGGTGGGAAGGACTTCTAGAGAGCAGGGAGTGAAAATACCATGAGACGTGATAACGCTGAAAATGCAGGGAGTGAAAGTACATCCTGTATGAGACGTGATGTATTTTATTTTGCTCTCACAAGCACTTCCTACTAGAAATCTGGGGTTTTCCACATGTTGTGCTAGTGATTCATCATTGTTATCTGGTCTGATAGTACTTCTGCTTAATCACCACCTGAATGAGAGCGTTCTCGTACAGGTGGTGATTAAGTTACATTATGTGACTATTCCTGATGTGAAATCCCATCAGTGAGAAGTTCATAAAGTCCAAGAGCGATAACTTAGGTTTTAATCACATAAAACCTTCCATGCCGTGTAGCTCCGTGCTTGCCTAGAACAGTGGTGTAGTGTGATCAGCAGCAGCCTTGGGGACAAGTGATGAAACCTCAGCCCAGAGACACCACGGGTTATAGCATGGGTCTCTTCCTCCATCTCTGATGCTGGGCTGGCTGGGACGGGCCAAGTGTATTAGGGTGTACCCAGTGGGTTTGTTATGCTGGGACAGGGTCAAATGATATTAACTCTGAGGGAATTTCTGAAAGTCAGCCTTAGTTTCAACATTTTATTTTGTTTGCTCTGCCTCTTTCTCCTTTTTTTTGTATGGGTTTTTCTTTGTTTGTTTTGTTTAAGGCAGGTGCTGTCGTATTTGTGATCTGTGGGGTCCTGAAGGGAATATTTCATTTTTCAGCAAAACTGTGGTTGTATTTTCTTATAATACTTATTAATACTGGGAGTCAAAAGCTTTGTAAAAGCTTTTTTCTTTATGCAAACAGTAAAAAATATCAACTTATTAAATGAAGGTATTAGAATACTTATTTATTTATACTCGCATTGTTTGGTTTATGAGATAATACAGCCTTAACACAGCTCATTGGTTTTATCAGATTTTGTCATCTGCCAAATTATTTGACAAATTTGCCATAAACTCCCTGACACTTTTGCTCAAAAGAGTTAGTTTTCTTCATTCTTTGCTGCCAGACAGGTCATGTATCTTTTCAGGCTTGAAGAATTCCTATCGGCTATTTAAATGCAAGGCCACAAAGACAAAGCTAGACTCAGGCTGCAGCAAGCTAAACCAGGGTGATTCAGAACCAAAGGAGCTGCAGCACATAATTAAACAGTAACTGCGCCCTACACCAGAGACTTTATATTTGGCAGAGTAAACTGCCTGCTTTACTGATGAAAAAGAGGTATTTGCACCATTGTCAGAGACAGTGGTGAACAAGTGTGGTGAAAATTTTTGTCGAGAGACACTTAAAAAGTTTTTCTACCTACTACTTGGGCAGGAAACGTGACTAAAGATGACTGCTGCCAGTCCCCTGCTGCCGAGGGAAGAGGATGCATCCCAGCTTCCCAGCTCTTGGTGCTGGGAGTAAAAGAAAGGGCAGAGCTGGGCATGAGTTTCTCCTTGGCGCTAATGGCAGCCGCCTTTGCTTTTATTCCCTGCAGCTAGGCTCGGAGCCAAGGGAATTATATACAGCCGTGGCTGTGTGCTGAAAGGAGGAGGAGGAGGTAGGGTAATCTTTCTCAAGGCTTCTTACACCTCTCTCTGGTGGTGTGCTCGGCAGTAAGTTTCTCTTCACGTCACAGTGATCTGTGAGGATCTGATCTCCTGTCCCCCAGCTCACGGCGCCGAAACAGGTGAGAAGAGATGCTGTTAGCTCGGTTTTAGAGCAGTAAAAGAAATCTGTCATGGAGCAGCCATATGGTTGTGTTGGCCTTAAGACAAGGAGGTGATACACTCCCACCCGATGCAGCTGAGCCGCACGAGAAGAGGAAGCCTCGAAGTTGGAGTCGCTGCAGGCTTGTGGGTTAGTAACCAAGCAGGAGCTGATTAGACAGACCAAGTCCTGCTGGAAAGGTTTAAGTCAAGGTGTCAGCAAATTTAAAATGATTTTTACACAAAGCCGCTGAATTTGACGGGAGAAGAAATATCCTGAAAAAAATCCATTGACAACAAGAATTATTTTTGCTGATTTTCTCAAAGGAGCAGGCTATAGTGAAGAGGCTCCTTAGGCACAGGACAGTTTGGAGGTGAGGAAGACACACACAAGAACACGCTCGCAGCAGTGAAGGCAGCACTGCAGCCTGTCCCTGCTGTGAATACCTGGGCAAACAGGCAGAGGGAAGGGAATGGCCTGGAGCTGCCACAACCTCTTTTATACTGCCTGAAAACCAGAAGCACACAGAGCAACAGCGCCTGGAGTCTCGTGGCAGAGCCTGGAAGTCATCTCTGCAGGGCTCGCAGCACACCCTTTCTGAAGTCCTTTGCAGAGGCTCTTGCCTTTTTGTTTGCGTGACAGCAAGGAGTGTGTGTGCAGAGGAACATACATGAGTTTTTTGCAACTGCCTGGGTATAAAAAGCTTTTTAACCACAGGATGTGTTTAGCCATGACTATTCATGTATTTATTTGTTGGCAAACTAGTGCTTGAATCAAGTCACACCACCTTCTACCTTCTATAAACCAGAGGGGCAGCTTTCCCAAGCCACTGGGCTCCTCAGGCCTGCTGCTGTGGTGGGCTCTCTCTGGCTGGCAGACCGCTGCCTGTGCTGTGCAGGTAGCCTGATGTGTCTGGGGACTGCCTTATGGAGAGGAATCTGCAACCATTTCCGTGCCTTTGAAGGTGTTTCTGGCTCTGGCAGTTTGCTGACAGCGAGGCCTGTTTCCCTTTCTCTCTTGTGCATCTCTCGGCTCAGTGGGGTTGCTTCCTGCCATAACTCGTGGGGTTCCCTTGCAGCCTTCCCACCTACCCCTTTTTTCTTGCTTGCTTTGCCCATAGGAATTCTGTGAGCAGAAGTTCATTTCTGCCCACGTGCATGCCCTTGAAAAATAATCTTATGAGGGAGGTCAGTTTATTGTAGCAATACCCAGGGACTCCATGCAGACTCAAGGACTTGTATTTCATTGTTTGTCCAAGAAAGACATCAGAAGGTGCAACTTTTGCCCTGAAGACCTGTAACAGTAAATTCTGCTGAGCTTAGTGCATCCTGTAAAGTCATCAGGGGATGTATGTTATAGCTTCCAGAAAGAACAGCAGAGTCAAATCAGTGTAATGCCATACCTCATCTGACTTGCTGGAATAAATAGAAAATGAGAAAGAGGGAGGATGGGGGTGGCCGAGTACCCACCATGGAGTGGCAAAGATTCGAGTAGCTCAGTGGCTGCTGACCCGCTGCGTTGGACTCGTACCAGCGTGGAAAATATTCCAGTAGGGGCTGGGACTGCACCAGGGTGAATGGGCTCATAGCACAGGGCCTCAGAGAGTACAGTTTGAGCCGTGTTGTAACAAAAATTCATAGGAGTGATTGATTTTACACACATTAAGGGTTCTTTCGAACCCAGTGGAAATAATCGAGGACATAAGTCTTTGCCAGAGTAAGATGTAGAAATTAATGCAATTTATGTGTCTTAATTGCCCACATGAGATGATCTTTTTTTTAATGTATTGTGTGATAGGGAGCAGGGAGCATATCCCGAGGAGCTTTGTTATGTGCACAAAAGTGTTTCAGCTTCTGTGGTTTAAAAACAAACAAAAAATGAAACTAAAAAGCAACAGCTACGTTTGAAAGCAAGAAAGGATTTTCTTTTAAAATAACCTTAGATTGAGCATATTTTGACAGAAATGTTACAGAACACCATCTGTTGAAAAACAGCACTTTATTTACTTTTATATGTATGTTGGAAGTTGTTTGGTTTTTTTGCAAAGACAAACACAAAAAAAGAGCATCTTTGTTCTTTTGCAGAGAGTTGGATTGAACGGTGTCTCAATGAAAGTGAAAACAAACGTTATTCCAGTCACACCTCTCTGGGGAATGTTTCTAATGACGAAAGTAAGTAACTTGTCATTCATTTAAACCAAGTGTGAATATGTCCAAATGCTAATTTGCTATATAAGTTGCTACATCTTGGTGATAATTTCAGTACTCTGCAGTCTGAAGCATCAACTTACTCCAATAGTTTTATTAATTATGATTTCTTTTTAACATCTGGTATTTTGCATTATTTAAAATAAAATAAAAGGATATTTACTATTTATTAAACAACCAGAACAATTTGTGTGTCACTGAATAAAATGTGCTGTTGGTATTAGCTCATGAGTAAATCCATCTGTTTTACTTTTCACTGGTGAATACAATGTAGCTGAAGTAAGGGAAAAAATGTGCTGTTTTTCAATACTGCTATAGCAAATCATACATATAAAAATCTTTCTTTTAAGAACTAAACAATCATTAGATTAAAAAATACATATTAAAACATGATACTGCTTACATTTTAGTTATAGAGAGGAAACAATTTAGATTTATCTGATTTCTAAATAGCTATTTTTTCTAATCTCCTCTAGTTACAGTAATTTTAGATCTTGATTTTTAACAATAGCAAGGAATTAAAAAGACACCTTGAAATAATCTAATCGTTGCTTTTTGAAATTGCAAGATAATTTTCAGTTTACCATTTAGTTTTCCATGTTTATGCAATTTCTATTCTTCTTAATTTGTCTAGAGCAAAATGCTCTTCATGTTAGTTTTCCTCTCTGGAATTTGTGTTAGTTTGTCTTACAAGATATTAATGCAGACTGATTTCTTGAATTCAGGAAGGCTCATATTTTTATAACATCTAAACACATAAGTTTAGAAATGTAGTTTTAATAGCTTCTTAATTGCTGAATGTCTCTTTCACATTGTTTGCATTTTAAGAGAACTACTTTATTTTGATGTTACAACAGAATTATATGCCTTCTCGAAGAACAGTGTTTTAGTGAATGATGGAATTTGCTGTATTGGGGCCCTACTCTTATTTGTCCAGGGATCTCTTTTGAGGCAGTATCTCTTCTGAAGGGCAAAAGAAGTGTTAGAAACATGGTATTTATTCATGACTCCTAAGGTAGAAACTGTGGGCAAGGATCTTTAAAGGTAGACAGTAAAACTTGGACAGCTTTGGGGTTTTTTTTTATTTTAAAAATGAAAGAATTAGAAATTAGTTGTAGTGAAGGACAAAAAAATCTTGTTAATTTGCATTTTACGACAACCTATGAGACTTACCAAATTCATTTCACTTTGGCGCTACTGATAAAGTGATGGAAAGACTCTGTAATGAATGAGATGTTACTTCAGAGTTTTAATAGGATCAGAATTCAGGATATAACCCTACTGACTTTAGTGGATTTTCCTTAGTTAAAGACAGTATTGTCACGGTATTTATTTAGAACCACTAGCTGTATTAAAAAAATCTATATTATAATGTCAAAATTGTCAGTGTCCTCTTTGTTCTGTTCTAGATGTGTTGCTCTAAGTAGGTTGTAGCAAAACTAGCGGTAGCTTATTCCATTGTGCTTTCAGTTTAAATGCCAGCATGAGAAAACTTCCACGTACCTAGGGAAGAAGTTGACCTGCGTGGGTTAGGAAGAGCAGGTATTTCAGACGATGGCATTGAGAAGATAGGATGGTTGTTCGTTCTGTTTTCTGGTACTGGAGTTAAGAGGCAAACGATGATAATGAAAGGTGGCAAATTTAGAACCGACGAAACAAATATATGAAAGAATTTATCCTCGAATTTGTGTGCAGAAGACATTGCCACAACATATAATGGGAACCCAAATGAGGCTGATTTCATCTAGCTTCTTTCTTAATAGCCAGTTCTTTGGGATGTTTCCTTTGCACCGATACCAGCATTTCTGCAGCACAGATAAGAGAATGAATCCACCTGAAAAGTCGTCCTTGTTTTGGGGGTGCAGGAGGAGGAGAAGGAGAAAAGAAAGGAGTAGGGAAGCAAAATAAGCCACAATAATCTGACAAAATCCAGAATGAACTAGAAGTTTCACCTCGGAAATCACTGTACTACATACTCCTTTCCAGCCCTTGAGTTCTTTCTAAAGTTTTTCTAACAGTGCTCACACACCAACCAAGAAATTTTCAAACCCTTGTGCCACTCTGTCTAGCCTCTGTCATATGTTTACAAACAGCAGGAGTCAAAATGTTTTGAGAAAACCTATGTATCCCTGTTCGAATTCTTCATAACAGTGGTCAAATTGCTGTTGTCAATGGAGCTCTAGTTTTCATCTGCAGCCAAAAGAAGGCATCATCTGTCTTTCTCTTGACTATTTTTTTTGGTCTTTACATACATTAGCTAGCTGTTGGCTGGACTCTACCAGGGAAAATGTGGTTTTGGTGTTGATTCATTTTTTGGCCTTGCACCCAGTGAAGACTAGGAGAATTTGCACTGTGAACTGATAATGTTCTTACTCAGCATTATATTTGTTCTTGTGACTGTTTTTCCCTGGATGTTTTTATGGTTCACAGGGTTTTAGGACAAGAGGAATAGTTTTGCTGGTCTCCTTACCTACAGTCAAAGTATGGTGCAGAACCATACTTCAGGCAAAGGGGTCCTTTGCAACCTTTTACTCCCATTCAGACACCTCCAGGCCTCTTGAACCTGCACTGTGCAGGGAAGCACTGTCTCATAGCTGTGAATTCCTATGGGTTTGTTGCTTCTTGGCGTGCTTTTTAATGTTTTTGGAACTTTTCATGACCTCTCCCAAAACACAGCTCTGATACTCTAATACAAAAATTCTAGGTAAATTTTATTTTAGTTTTTTTTTTTTTTAAACATTTTTCCTTCCATCACTTCCACACTCTACACATTATTCAAAAGATCGATGGGAAAAGAGAAAGGTGCAACCTCATATCTAATAACCGAAAAAAAACCCCACAATGTTTTCTGTTCACTTTTCATTGAGCCAGATTTTCCAGATTGAAATAGGGCATCTGAAGGAATACAGTTCAAGGATTATGATAGTTTCAACTTTAAAAAAAGAAAGAGTCATGATGTTACATGATGAAGTGGAGGGGTTGTCCACATGCCTAAATTTTTTTGCATATTTAGAAATATGAATGTGTAGACAGTTCATACGAGATAAAAGAAAAGATTCAGACTGCTTTTGGCACTTCAAAAGCGGTGTTCAAAACCCATATTCAAATTGGATGAAATGGAAGATCTATCCCGTAGTTTCTTCTTTTGGTATGAAATAAACCTCTTATACTTCCACTGAAAAAAATGTTTTAAAAGGAGCTACTTGGTTTCATTGAAATTTTTCTTGGGGAAAATTCTTTATTTTTCGATCATACCTACTCAGTTAGAACTATGCTCCCATGTTTTTCAGAGGGTTTTAAAAAATCTGGCTATTTTAAAACCATCGAATATATGCTGACAAGGCTGAATCTTATTTATGGCTACATGTAATAAGAGACGGGGTAGCTTCTTCCTATCAATTATAGCTAAGGGCAAATCACTTATGAGAGCAGTCAGAACTTGGACTGCAGGGGCTACAGAGGAAAAAGCTATTCCTCCAAAATGTGTGGACCTACCTGAACTAAGAGAAGGATTCTATCCACACAAAGCTACTAATAACACGTTACCTCTTCTGTGGTTTTGAAACACATGCAAGCAGCACTGGAAAGTACAGAACATTTGCATTATCTCTACAGCAAAAAGCAGAGATTTAACTCCAGTTATGACAGACTAATATCAGTATTTTAGAAAAAAGCATACTAATGCAGGGTCTTCACTTCGGGTTGTTCCGCTCACTGTGTTTAAGGCAGCATGCTTAAAGAGGTGCTGAGAGTAACTCCTATTGTCTCCATGTGTTGCTCCAAGAAGCAAGAAATCCCTTAAAATGGACCTAAAACAAAGTTAGAGGATACTGCTGAGGGTTTGGAGAAAGCCACAGACATGCACAAGGTACACACAGAACTCTATTCTGGTTGCTTTGGAACAGAGCTTTGAAAGCAGAAAGACAGAGCTGTTAACAAAGACACTTCCGTGGAGTTTGGGAAGAAAAATATTCTCTGGTATCTCTGGGAGCCAAGAAATACTATTTTTCTAGTACATTGATGGTTCCAGTTTTTAATAGCTCTGAAAGCCTCTTCCATGCTAAGAGGTTTACTTGCAGCTGTCTCAGCTATCACCTGCTTTCGGCTTGGGATGAGTACCAGGCTTCCCACCTAACCAGATGCTTTGAAGATATGTTTCCTTGGCATGCTGGTAGTCTTTCTACTGGCAGTGGAGTGAGATCTGCTCCTAGCAAATAGATTTGTCCCTGAGGTCCCATGTGTGTGAACACCTGCAGCTGTGCACCAAGAGCAGGATTTTTCCTTGTGGCTGCAAAGATTTTTCCCTGAAGAAACTGAAAAGTTTTGTTTTCTTATACAGAGATTTGATTTTGGGGGAGTATCCTGGGTTTAGCTAAAAACCCCAATTCTGTTTAATGATTTTTAATTTCCCGTTTAGTCTCTTCTAAAAGGCTGCACTTTCTGAAGTTAGCCACATGTTTTTGCAGACAGTGTGTGCTACTGGCAGTGATAACACCTGATGTTTACAGTTACTGCCTGGGACTGGGATGCAGACAGGTTCTTGCTGATACTTATTCCCATAGTGACCAAGGCCACTGCTGTCTCTTGTGTGCCACGCTGGGGGTGCTGGGAAGTAAGAGGGGTCACAAGGAAGTAAAAGGTTGCACCTCCGAGGGGTAATAGACAGGACAAGTGAGTATTCCGTTCCATTCCATATACATCATATTTAGTATAGACTGAGTGATCACAAGAGTTTCTGCACTTCCTTCTTCCTTCTTCTCCCTTTTCTGCAATGGCCAGTGTCCAGGGAGGACTCTGTCCGATCTTCTGTTTTTGATCTGGATCCTGAGGTCTTGAATCCAGCTCCCTTCATCCAGTTCCCCTCTGCCACTGAGCCTGGGTCTTCCCCAGTGCCACCTGCTCTGAAGCATCAGTGGGGTTTGCTATTGGGGGAAGGAGTTGAGTTCGATATCAAGCTTATATATAGTTGTATATAGTTCTCTATTTTTATCATTTCACTATTATTTCTATTATTTCATTAAAGCTGATCTAGTTTTTCTTCTCTAACCCGTAAGTCTGCCTTATTCCCTTTCCCTTCCGTTTGGTGGCAGGGGGGTGGGCAAGAGGGAGTTAGAGAGTGTCTGTGTTTAGTGACTGGCCCAGCCCTAGCCCGCGACAGGGAGACAAGCACTAATGCTGAAAAATGCAGTTTTGTTGAAAAAACAGTTGTTCAGTGGGTAATATTTTGATGAATAATGGTGATTAAGGATTTTTTTAAAATAAGTTTAAAGTCTATCAACCTCCTTCTTGATTTTATGATACAGCTAGTGGATAATGCTGAAGAGTCTTAAAGAAGGATCCTCAGGAAGCAGACATACCTGAGGAGGGAGGTTGAAATTGCAGTTTATGATCTTGTTGTTTGTTTGTGGTGTTAAAGCCAATCTTTACAGGGGAGGAGCCAAGTATGGCTGGCTTGTAATGTGTGTCAGAGGCCAGGTTAGGTAAAGCACCTTCTTACAGGTGCTCACTCTTAATGTGAGTGAAAACGGCAGGGAAGGGATGTAGAGACTCTAGTATTTTATAATTTGAATATCGACTTGATGTCTGATAGAGTACCACATATCCAGGGGAAAACTAAGTCTAGCTGGCACAGGTGAAAGCCATCTAATAATAGACATTTAGAATATTAGCCCCCTTAAATCAAGAAAGATAATAAAAAGTTTTATTCCAGGGTGGAGGTGATAGTACTCCTTGGTTTCACAGGCAGAGGTTTAAGACTTCTGCACCTTAATTAGACGAGGGCTTATTTAGATCAACGGCTTTCAGCCTTTCCAATATGCATCCCTCTAGCAATTTTCACCAAGGTAGAAGCCAACTATATACTGAACTTAAACTGGTCGGTGGTAGGCTTTGACACTGACACAGAAAATACTGATTAAGAAAATTGATAACTCTCACCTGTGAAGCAATAACCTTAATCTGAATGCAGCACAGGAGGAGGACAGGGTCCCCACATGCTGCTGATACCTAAAGGCAGCGTATTGGGTGGTTGTATCTCCCTGTGGGTCCTTGTTGGTGAGGCCTGTGTCCCCCACATAGCTGCCAGCTATAATTTTCATTACTAGAGAAGTAATGAAAATTCCTAGGGGTAGCTGGGAAGACACAGTGGGATGCGGGACTGGACCAGGCTTGGGTCAGGCCACCCACCTTTGCACCTCCATAGTGACTATGAGGCCTTTCACATCAAGGCTCACTTGCCCTCCCAGAAAGTGCTCTTGCACCTCTGAGCAAGGCTCCCTTGATCTCTGATGCCTGGAAAACTGTGAAACTCAACCCAGAAGGCTCTTCCCACCACACAGCAGGGCAGACATGACCATCACTCCTCCCCACGCCTCTCCTCAGGGAAGGCTGGAGTTGGGCGAGTTCTTCTTAGGGTGTGTGTGCTGGGAAAAATGGTGGGTGTTGCAAGAGGGGACATCCCTGACTGTTTTATCCACAGACTGGTTTAAACCCGGAGTGCAGGGCTCTGCCTGACACTGCTGAGAAGGTGTTTGTGCCACCAGCGAGGCTGGGGGCTGTTGCTGAGCATCAGGGGCCTGTGGCAGCCAGGGCCGCTTGACATTCAAGCCCCGTGTGCCAAAGGTTTGTTGGATGCCGCTCGTTTGTTTAGGAAAAACAAATGAAAAACACAATTTAAAAGTGATTGGAAATGTGTATGTTGGTCCTATGCTCTGAATAAAAACCAGGCCCCTGAAAGGCAGGGAGGGAGTGTGCGGTGGTCCAATAATTAGAGGCCCTATTGTCATGCAGATGCAGGAGAGGGGCTGCGGGCAGTGTCTGCCCGTAACTGTAAATCTGGATTTTTGTGACATTCAGGGGACCAGCCTCACAGGCTGGAGGATGTTCACTTAACACGATTTGCCCTATGTGTTATGGAAGAAATATCGTGGCACAAGGACTGAAGACAGCTTTTTCCGAAGTTGGGTTTTATTTGTGCGCATCTGTTCTTTTGGACTGCACAAAAGGCTTCCTAATGGGGTGTGATGTTCAGAGGAGATAGCTCAGCTCCCCTTAAGATTCTGCATCCTAAAGGCTCACTTAAATAACTTCTAAAAGTTAATCGTATAAATAAATTAAATTTGCAGCATGGTGTATAGGCACAGTGGTTTACCTCATTGTTTGGGTATCAAAGCCTTCTAAGTTTAATGCTTTTGTCAGGGACAAAGTTGTTAAAATATCAGACTGGTTTTGGTACAACAGTGTTTCCCAGAAAATACCCTTCTGGAGTTGTTAATTTTGCTTCAAAACAGTTTTCATCTAGGAATGTTTATATATATATTTACAAATCACAATTTAATAGGACTTATTCTATAGGTTCTTTTAAATTGTTTCAGAAGAACTAATGTAAACTTGGAAGAATCTAATATTTTGAGAGTTTTATTTTGATTATCTTTTTCTTTATTCATTTGTTGTTCAAATTTTTGGGAAGTCAGCAACTCAGAGTTACCTTGGAAACAGCTAATGAGGAATATTGTTAGAAAAAATGTATGAAAAAGAATAAAGTATGTTCTATAATGTCTTTAGTTTCAGTTTTTATTGCTGAGAAATAATTTTTGTAGATTTATAAACATCTAGTATATCATATGTTAGGGTCACAGCAGTGGATGAACCCCATTAGGTTAAAGGTTTCATCTAATATTATACTTGGGTACGGTAAAAAAAAAAAATCCTTTCCAATGTCATTATTCCTATGTACCACTCTGCTCTTACTCTCAGTGATGTTTGCAGGGTTTCTTGCCTTAAGTGATATCTACAGATGCTAGTTTAGGGAACACCATTATTTGCATTTCCACAATTTATCCAATGCTTTGAGAAAGCTTTGGCACTTTGGAGTATCTTTTTTTTTTTGATCAGATAATTCCTTACCAGTTTACAAATGCCTGAGTAATTCTCACTGAAATTACATAGTGTTTTATTGTTTCTTCACAGATGAAGAAAAAGAAAATAATAGAGCATCGAAACCACACTCAACTCCAGCTACACTGCAATGGTAAGATGCCTTTAAAAAAAAATCAATAAAATCTGCAATTGATTTTAATTATACTTTTTCCAGCTGAAGTGAATAGAAGTCTTGGACATCTAATACAGTTCTAAAGATACTTTCACAATACGTGTTTAGTATCATTAGTATCCTCTACAGCATTTCTCAGCTAATATCTTACTCTTAGGGGATTTGTTTGAACATAGGAGACCTCTGATACAGTTTAGAGTATCTACTTGGCATATTTGTTTGCCACCTTGTCAGATGGTGATTTGTGGTTTGTCATCGTTGTTACATTTGTTACAGAAAGAAAACTAGTACTGAGAATTTTTTCAAGACTCACTTTTTTTAATATACGATGCCAACCTTTACTGACTGTTTTACTGAAGTGAGATTTCTATAATTTAGAAGACAAAGAGTGAGGTTGAGCTTTGATTAATTTGTCATAACCCTCTTGCAGATTTAGTAAGAGGGAAAAAGGAAGGATGATTAGGGAAAAAGAAAGAGAGGATGGGAAGAGGATAGTTTGTGAGTTAGTCTGCTGTGCTATGAAAACGAATAAGTGCTGTTTGCTGTGGTTTACAGCAGTATTTTAGGCTGCATGTTCTGTAATGTTACTTATACTTCTGACATCCATGTCTATGGTCCTTTGGGCTTGTTTTTTTTTACATTTCCCTTAATTTATATTTTTAATTCTGTTTTAGCTTTCTTAATATTGTAAGTAATCAATCATCTTTCAGGAGGTTCCTTGCATCTGGCAGTACAGAGTTCTGTTACAGAGAAGCCTCAGAGCATGCTTATCTGAAAACCCATACTCCTTAGATTATGTCTTTTAAATAAAGGCCTTTACCTCATCTGTAAGTAGTTCTGTTTTTCTGGATGAAAAGAGAAGTTTATTGGCAAAAAGTTTGGGATTTTTTAGCAGAATGTTAGCAAAATAATTTTTCTGCTTCTATTAGTCTCTTGGGAGAGCTAACTGAACAAACAGCAAAGAACAATTCATTCAGTGAATTTTACTCTTTTTCTCTGCCTGTGAAGTTCTGTGATTCTGTGAAATATGCATTAAGAGATTTGGAGTGTTTAATCTATATTTGTTTTCTAAAGTTGAACAGATAAATTTTAGGTTTAAAAAAACCCCAAGACCTGTGGGTTGATTTAGAATAGGATGCTGCAAGTATTTGGTGTTTTGCCTTGCAGAAACCTGCAGATGCTTCCAGTGCAAATAACGAGATGTGCAAATATAAAAAAAAAAGGCATTTAGTTCTGAACTATTGTTTCTTTATACCTATTTTTATCACAGAAGTGCTGTTTTTCAGAAGCTGAAGAAAAATTAATAAAGAAAGGGAGTGACTACAGACAGAGAAAAAGTTATTAAAATAATAGTGAAAACTGATAGAGATATTTTATTATTGTCCATTATTCACCCATGCAACTTCAACACAGTTCAAACAGGATAACAAAGAACTATCTAGCTAAAATAAAAAAGCAGGTATGGCTTACCAGTCTCAAATTTGGAGCAGTGTTTATTTTGCAGTAGAGTCAGTTAAGAGTCTTTTCCACAGGAGCAAATAACACAGTAGCCAAGAAGTCAGAGTTAATTAGAACGTGCCAGTGATACTGTTCCCAACAGAAAACATGCAAATACTGTAAACAGTCTTTTGCCAAATACCTTCAAGCTTCCTCAGTCATGAAGGTTAATAAATCCCTAAACTCCTGGGATATTGAACCCTGCTGGAATGCAATGTGCACGCTAATGCTCATTCAGCAGTGTTTGCAATAGAATTCTAGAATTCTGATTCTGAAAAGGCTGCTTACATCATCTTCCCTTCCCCCTTGCTAGTGTACTAGCTTATTACCTGTCATTTTATTTTTCTTACATGTTTAGGTAGGTTGGGCACTCTCCTTTTTGAGTCTTTTGGAACATCTGCAGTTTCCTCCATTCACTTTTCCTCCCAAAAATACGTGAGGGAACAGAAAGCAATGATGTTTTCAAGTTTAATTTCTGTAGCTGGTGTCAAACTAAATGATACAGCTCGTTAGAAGACCTGTAGGTAAAATTTTCCCAGCTTGGTAGCTGTATGATAGAGCAATTTTCTGGTGGTTTCTCTCTGCTTTTCAGCCTACGTACTGCAACTTTGAATTGCTGTTTTCTGAAGAAACTGTGCTACTGGGCTTGGTAAGATTAAATAAAATGACAAGCTCAAAAATCATGGTTGAAGTGCTAAAAGTAGTAAGCTGGCTTTGTGTGAAGGTGTTGAGTTTCCTCTGTTCTGGAAAACCAGACCCGTTTGGGTCAGATTATTTGTACTCTGGTAGCACCAAGCAACCCATGGGTCGGTAAACTGTTGTGGTCAGCACGGTACAAATGCCGCACAGAGCACTTCTTGTAGGTTTAGCTTCTCGTGTTTGACAGTTTCGTCCACCCAAGCCTCAGACCAACTTTTTGCACAGACAAGACAAAAGACTAAATATATGTGGATATGCGTCAGACGAGCATGCGTCCTACCCCCTTACAGAAATGTCTGATCCAGATTCAAGTGATGGAAATGGTGGGGTAAATTATTGACCAAATTTCAGGCTAAAGTACCAAATTTGCCTCGTTCTGGCAAATGGAAGTACCACAATTGTCTGCAGTATCTGGTGTCTGCCAAGTTGAAGCTGGTCATATTTTTGCTGTTAGAGGCTGCTGTCTTTACATCTAATGAAGGCAAGGGAGCGTTGGAAAACAGAACCAGAGGAAATGTCAGTAGCAAGGAAAAAGGAGAGGAGGAATGTGAAGCAAAACTTAAGGGAAATATGTACATTTTGTCACATAGGTCATATTGCCATCACCTGTATTAGTTATTTTGTGCCTGGCATCTTGCCGAAAAGAGTGAACGACATCAGTCCCATGGGAATCTACCCATAAGGCTTATGCCTCTCCAAAGGCGAAGCACATTGAGCACTGCAAATAAGGAGGAGGAAGAAGTAGCTGAAGATGCCAGGAAGTGTGTCTGGATGACTGTCAGCCTGGCTAAATATCATTTTCCTGGAAACAGGAATGATTTTGTTTTGTTTTATCGATGACAAAAAATGAAGTGAAAGGCTTGGTAAATGTAGCATTCCT